TGCTGCTCTTGGATGTCACTGCCCTCCCACCCCAGTGAGACAGATCTTCCCTGCTGGGCTGGTAAGCTATATCCTTTCTTTTAGCTCAATTCTGGAGGTAGTTTTCTAGTTGTTTGGAGGGGAATTTTGGAGAGCTTCAAATGGCTCCTTCCTCACTCCACCATCTTGGCACTGGAAGTGGGCAATATGTTTTTACCAAAGGCTAAAATTAATTTTATATTACTTTATATTTATCTAATTCAATATGATAAATTATACTGAGTCCATTCTCAAGTTAGTCATTCTTTAAAAATATGTTTTACTTCATTAAATATCTTCCAATTTCATTTAAAAATTTTTTGATATTCATTTTTTTTGAGTTCCTTCCTGCCTTTCCCTATTCCTTGAGAAGCCAAGCAATATGATACAAATTATTCATGTGAAGAGAACAAAACATATTTCCATGTCAGCCATCTTACAAAAGAAAACACATGTATACACACACAAAATAAAGTTTAAGAAGAATGCTTCAATCTGCACACAGAGTTCATCTCTCTGGAGGTGAATAGCATTTTTCACCTTGAGTTCTTTGGATTTGTTTTGGATGATTGTCTTGATCAGAGTAGCTAAGTCTTTCACAGTGATCATCCTTGCAATATTACTGTTATTTTCTACAACATTTTCCTGGTTCTGCGCATTTCATTTTGTATTAGTTCATTTAAGTCTTCCCAGGTTTTTCTGAAAAGATCCTGCTTGTCATTTCTTATAGTAAAATAATGTTCAATCACAATCACATGCCACAACTTATTCAGCCATTCCCCAACTGATGGCATCCTCTCAGATTCCAATTCTTTCCAACCACAAAAAGAACTGTTATAAATATTTTTGTACAAATAAGCCCTTTTCATTTTTCTTTGATATCTTTGGGATCAGATCTAGTAGTGATATTGCTGGGTATAAAGGTGTGCATACTTTTAGCCCTTTGAGCATAGTTCCAAATTGTTCTCCAGAACAACTGGACCAGTTGACATCAACAGCAGTGCATTAGTGTCCCAATTTTTCCACATCCCCTTTAGTATTTGTCACTTTCCTTTTCTCTCATGTTACCCAGTCTGATAGGTGTGAGGCAGTATCTCAAAACTGTTTTCATTTGCATTTCTCTAATCAATAGTCATTTGAGAGTATTTTTTTCGTGTGACTGTTGGGTAGAGTGCCAGGCCTGGAATCAGGGAGACTCATCTTTGTGAGTTCAAATCTAGACTCAGACACTTACATACTATATGATCCTGAACAACTCACTTAATCTTATTTGCTTCAGTTTCCTCGTCCATAAAATGAGCTGGAGAAGGAAATAACAAACCACTCCAGTATCTTTGCCAACAAAATCCCAAATGGACTCACAAAGAGTCAGGTACAATGAAAAACAACTCAACAACAATAATCCCCTAAATATTTTTAGTCGTAGGAAAATATTTTAGGTCCATGCTGTGCACCTGGTCTCTATTGAAGAAGGAGTGCCTTGAGCTATATTCGAAGGCTTGACTACCTTTCCACTAAATGCAGGTTAAAAAAAGGCTATCACACAGTGAATTGACAATAAACCCATTTATTCAAGACAAGAGCAAGCAGAAATCAGAAATGATACAGATATACTAGACAATACACAGAGTGAATGAGCTCTCTCACTGGGAACAAGATATCTCCTCTCAGGGGAAATATCCCTGATCCCCACAAGGAAAATTTGCCCAAAGTCTTCAGGGAGGCAAGCTGGGAACAGATTTATGCTTGAAGCACCAGCTCCTCTACATATTGGCTCCTTCGCAGAGTATTTCTCTCCCTCCAGGACCTCTCACTGAAGAGAACTTGGAACTCCTCCCGTGAGGCCAGTATCAGAAAGACCTAGGTTTTCTCCTCATTCAAGATCTTTCCAACTGCCTCTCAGGTAGGGGCAGATCCTCAAGTAGTCTTTATCCATAAAGGAATCTTATGCAAAAGGGGTTTAAACCCTGGCTTTCTTAAACAAAAATAATTAAACAGAAGTGTTAACAAACTAAAACACGGAGGTTATCTTGGGAATGTATACTCACTCTTCCCCCGAAGGTAAGAAGAGATAAAAAGGGGAAAGATAAAATGTCATAGTTTTTGGCAGAGACATCAACAATCTTCCACATGGTTTTATCCCTTCCAGTCAGCATCAGTAGTAGTACTAGTTCTCAGACTCTCTCTGTCTCTCTCTGTCTCTGTCGTTCTCTCTCCGTGTATGTGTGTGTGTGTGTGTGTGTGTGTGTGTATCTCCCTCCTGCAAGTTAAGAAGTTATTTTTTTAAACACTGTCTTTTTGCTGTGGCACAGTCTCACCCTTACCGGGAGCTCACTAACAGAAATTGAGAGCTTTAGTTCTTCCAGCAGAAACCATTTCCCAGTACCCTCTACTAATACACTTGATATTTGGAACTGTATATCAGAAGACAAAAATAACACCAGCATTTAACTAAACAAGGATGATTAATCCAATGTTTCATTTGTTCCAAGCACCTTATAGTGACATTTTCAGAGAAAAAAAGTATGTATATATATATATATATATATATATATATATATATATATATATATATATATATATAGGGCCCTGGGCTTGGAATCAGGAAGCCTCATCTTCATGAGTTGGAATCTGCCATCAGACACTTACCAGCTATGCTCCCCTGGGCAAGTATTTAACTGCCTCAGTGGCCTCATCTGTAAAATAAGGTGGAGAAGGAAATGACAAACTATTCCAATATCTTTGCCAAGAAAATCCTAAATGGGGTCACAAAGAGTTGGACATGTCTGAAAGGACTGAACAACAACATGAAATTGATATAGGACAGTTTAAAATATGATTTGGTGGGCTGCTTTGTTGATTATATTTTAAAATTACGTATTAATAATTATAATGGTGATGATAATAGCTAATATTTATATATCATTTAGTATATCTAGACACTGTGCTAAGCACTTTATAATTATTAGTTCATTTTATTACATTCAGGACATGTATGTAGTATCTATAGACATGTCTCTGTATATCCATAAAACACAAATAAAAATATATAACATCAATAAGCCTACAGAATAACAAAATATGTACAAAGAGATAAATAGCAAAACTATGCTTAGTTAACAGAGTAATATAGCTTCAATAAATGCATGATATAAATACAAAAGCAAACATATATGAAAAAGAAAATAATGAGACATTCATCAAAGCATTCAGTAATTAACACATGCATTAATGAATATGTTTGTACAGACATATTACAGGGATAAATATTAGTTTTGTCATCTGCCTATATATGTAACAGTAACTCCAGTTTCCCCTGGGATATCATGTTAGTCTGGTAACAGAGAGGCCTAGGCTTTCCTATCACCTAGTGACCTAGTTGCACCTATATCTGACCTAACTGATGGTCTAGATTGGTCATGGTCATCACCAGAGATATAGTCTTGCTTTCACAAAATCAAACATGGGAGGGGTTATTATGCCGTCTGTAATAGTGGTATACCACTATGATACACAGGGGTGTATCATTTCCCAAGGTTTCTATGGCTGAATAGTAGGCAGAAAAGGGATTGCCTCTGGGTTCAGTCATCTCACTTCTTTTGAACTAGTTGATGGGTACTCCACTAACTGTAGTACACAGAGTCTTCTATACTTGAAATGTCGGTTTCTGAGCCCATTGCCTGGTTTGGACAGGCTTTGAATTATTGGCAGGTGATTTCTTTTGCTCTGAATCTGATAAGGTAAGTGACCACTTGGCTCTAACAGTTTATCAGGTAGTCCCAACAATTCACCTCTAGCCAATAAGAAGTTGGGGCAAACTGTCTTTACCATTCTAGCCCCTGCCAGTCTTTGGGGCTAATTTGTAAAGAACTCAGATGCCTAGTCTGTCCACAGCTGGATATGGAGTAGCTTTGCATTAATCTGTTCATTTATGTGTCCCATTTTATGATGATTTCTCAGGAAAATTCTTTGTCCTTTATGAAGGTCTTGACAACAAATTCAAGAAGTGTTCAGTAACCACCAACGTATGACTTACGTTCTATATATCCTTCCAGAGATATGATGTCAAGTTCCAAAGGTTTGCTAGTAGGTATATTCTCTAAATATTCAACACAAGTTGATAATACTTTTCTTTGCACATAATGAGCACTTACATGCTTGGTAATATCTGCAACAATCTTGGGCTGGTAAAATCTTTCTGCATCAGCTTCCTTATCTATAAAATAGGAATAATAAGAGCACCTTTCTCCCAGGGGTTGTTCTGAGGATAGCATGTGTGAAGTGCTTTGCACATCTTAAAGCACTACAGCTAAGTCCTGAATAGTGCAAATAATGTATCTTGTGAAGTAGTTGTATGCATTTAAATTCACACTATGCAAAGTTATAATTATGTAAAATGTAATAAAATATTGGTTCCAGCCTAATGGAAAAATGTCAGACAAATTCAAATAATGTGACCACTTCATGGGATTCATTATTTCCACTAATCAAAACCTGGCTCTATATAACTATTGGCTGTTATTATTATTTCACAAGAAACAGGGATTGTGAGCATGCCAGGAGATGTGATGGATGGCTTTAGGCTGCAGCATGTCAGCAGCTGCTTCTGGCTTTTAAGTCTCTAGGAAATAGGGAAGCTCCAACAAATCTAAACAGTTATTGATTAATATGAAAATCATAAATCCCTCAGTGAGCACTTGGTGCTAGTCAAAGCAATGCACTTTACCAGAGGGTGAGATCATTCAGAGCGCAAAGGATTGTCGTTATGCCAAGTTCAGGGCATAGCCTGCTTGCTGGGCCTTAGCTCTGGGAAACAGTGTCTCCAAATATCTTGACAGAAGGAAGGAAGGAAGGAAGGAAGGAAGGAAGGAAGGAAGGAAGGAAGGAAGGAAGGAAGGAAGGAAGGAAGGAAGGAAGGAGGGAGGGAGGGAGGGAGAGAGGGAAGGAAGGAAGGAAGGAAGGAGGGAGGGAGGGAGGGAGGGAGGGAGGAAGGAAGGAAGGAAGGAAGGAAGGAAGGAAGGAAGGAAGGAAGGAAGGAAGGAAGGAAGGAAGGAAGAAAAAGAAAATATGCTTTAATTTGCACTCATCATCCATCAATTCTCTATCTGAAGGCAGAAAGATCATGAGTCATCATGAGTCCTTTGGAATTGTTGTGGGTCATGGTGTGGATCAGAATCTTTCAGAGTTGATTATCCTTACAATAATGCTGTTACTATGTAGATTGTTCTCCTGGTTCTGTTCATTTCATTTTGTGAAGGTTCACGTAGGTCTTCAAAAGTTTTTTCTGAAACCATCCCTTTCAATTACAGCACATTCATACTCCATAACTTTTTCAGCCATTACCTAACTGACAGGAATCCCTTCAGTTTCTAATTCTTTGCTACTACAAAAAGAACTGCTATAAATATTTTTGCACATATAGGTTCTTTTCCTCTTTCTTTCATCTTTTTGGGGTATGGCCCTAATAGCTGTATTGCTAGGTCAGAGGGTAGGCAAGGTGTAATAGCCTTTTGATCATAGTTTCAAATTTTTTTCCAGAATTCTAACAACTTTGCCTCAGCTCTTCCCAAACCTTTTCAATAATGATCTAGAAAATGTGTCAAACTGAATTTTGAGTGGCAAATTCAAGAAAAAGTCACAGTGTGTCATTTTTCTAACCCAGGGCAGCTTAGGAAGATAAATAGAGAGGTCTGAAGACTCAGGTGTGGGGGCTGACAAGGAGTTAAGGGAGCAGAAATGACATCAGGCAGTGAAAGAGATCAGCCCAGTACCTCGGGATTGTAAGGAGACTGACTACCTGGTCAGAAACATAACCCCTATACTAGCACCAGAAGCAGGAACTGGTGCCATCTAGCAGCTCTATCATCCATTACCCAGTTCTCAGTTGAAGTTCCAGGGCAGAGAAGCATGATCTCAGTAGCTAGGCAGCAGGGGCCCTATCTGGGTAAGGATTAGAGCATAGACTAAGAGAGTAGTAACCAGATATCTCCCTAGTTCACATCACCTTGAAAGTACTGAAAATTTATAGGCCCCCAGATCTAGTTGAGAAAGCAACAGGACATTAAAAAAAAAAAAAAGAAGAAGCTCAGGCCAATCAACACCCCATATCCTACCAAAAGTGAGCAGAGCCCAAGTCTAACATGAAATCCAAAGTCAGGAATTAGGCTGGAAAAATGAGCAAAAACAAAAGTGGAACTAGTTCATAGATCCACCAACAGACAATGATGCACAGCCTATCTAGAAGTTTCCCAGTTTTCATGGAGAGTATCACCATTCTTCCAGTCTCCCAAGTTCACAACCTTAGTATGATTCTTGACCTTTACTCTCATTCACCCTAAACATACAAACATTTGCTAAATATTGCCATTTCAACTTCTACGACATCTCTGACATCTCTTCCTTTCTCTCTACTCTGTCTCCTTATTTCAAGCTCTCACAACTTCTTGCCTGGATTATTTCTATGGCCTCCTAATTGGTATCCCTGCCTTAATTCTCTGTCCACTCTAATTTGTCTTATACACAGATGCCAAAGTTCATAGCATTCAGTTTAAATTCTTCTGATATTATTCTATGTGCCTTCTTTTAGTCATGGTATATATTAATTTTCCTGATTATTTTTACTTCAGTTTATATCAACACGTATAAGTCTTCCCATGCTTCTTTGTAATAATTACAATTATTACTTCCTATACAATGTAATAGCCAATTACACTAATATACCACAACTTACTTATCTGTTCCTCAACTAATTGGGCAACCCTCAGTGTCCACTTCCTTCCATCATGCCACATGTCTCCTACCTGATCTCAAACCTTCTGTGAGAAGAGGAGAAGGGTCGTTCCATCTTGCCAGTCTCCTACTGTTGAAGTGTGGGGAAAGGACATCATTCCATCAAGATTCTGAAATAGTCTCTTGCCTGGAGGAAAGAGAATATCGCCACTTCTTCTGCTCTAAGTTCTTGTTCCCTCAGCTCTGAAAGGATTCTGCCTTTAGGTCATGATACTACTAACTTTGAAAATATTCCTAAATTTTTCACTTAATAATTAATAAACTCTTGCCTGGTCATACTTTTCCAGATGATCCCAGTGTTTGTAGAACATCATCCAAACCCCATTCCTCACCCAGACTACCTGATTCTTGGGGCAGCCAGGTGGCGCAGTGGATGGAGCACCGGCCCTGAAGCCAGGAGGACCTGAGCTCAAATCTGGCCTCAGACCACACACTTGACGCTTACTAGCTGTGTGACCCTGGGCAAGTCACTTAACCCCAATTGCCAAAAATAAATAAATAAATAAAACAAACAAACAAACAAAAACAACCAGACCGCCTGATTCTTTATTCCCATTCCCTTCAACTCATCTCTCCAAAGTTCCAACTAAACACTACTCACCCCTTCCACTGTACCCTCTGGAATGCCTGCTCCATAGACAACAAACTTATTTTCCTCATAAATATTTTCCTTTCCAGCTCCTTCCATTTTTTGGCTCTCCCTGGAATCTGGCTTCCTCCTGAAGACACAGCCTCCCTGCTCACCCTTTCTAGCACTGGATGTACTTTCCCTTATTCAGCAAGGAATTGAAATACTCCTTGATCCCAACTGCCATTTCCAAGTTCTCCCTCTACCACCATCACTTGATAACCTCTCCTTAGAGGTTCATGCAATCTACATTTACCTCCCAATCAAAATTTTGGTAACTTACTAACCTCCAGAACATTCCCCTTCTTTTCTCAATGAGTTCAGTACCTGGCTCCCAGTCTTTCTCTCATGCCTTCATACTAAGGGACTTCAACATACATATTGATACTCTCTCAAATACCCTAAACTCTCAGTTATTCAATCTACTTATTTCTGTTACATAATCTTTCATCCCATCTTAGCCATACGCAGAGTCATATTCTTCATCTTGCCATTACCTACAAATGTACCCCTTCCGCATTCATAAACTCTGAAATTCTCTTACTTATTATATATGTGTGTGCGTGTGTGTGTGTATACATATACACATACATATATATCAGTGTATACGTGTATACACACATATTATAACTGTATTAGCAAAGGGCCTCATTTATCCAAATCAATAGCAAAACAGAAATCAGAAAAAGTAAATATATGAGAGTATATACCTCACAATACATAATGAAGTAGATCTCCCATTGTTATCAAGGTAACTCAGCTCAACCTAGGGAGAGAGTTCTAAATCTTACACAAAGGGAAATTCCCTGAAGTCTCAAGTATAGCAAACTGGGAATGGGATGTGATCAAAGTTCTACATGTAGGCTTCTTCTCAGAGTCTTTTTCTCTCTCCATTGACCTGAACAGAAGTTGGCAACATGGATCTTCCTTCTCAGAGATGGAAGCCAGATGATGAACCTGAAGAGGACTGAAGAAACAAGATCTCTCTTCTCTTCTATTCTTGCCAACTCAGTTCCAACTTGAAAGATCTCTACCAATGAGAGAGTCTCATTCCAATGGGCTTTGAGGTTTGGTTTACATTCCTCCACTCGACCAAAATTATTTATATTCCCTTGCAAAAAATCATCTGGGACAAGTCTAAAATGCATAATTATATAATAAAGAAACAAACACCAGTGCTTTAAAATAACTATTTCTTATTTTACTGTTAAGTTCATTTGACTATGTTTGGTGTTATGTTCACATTATAGCAAACTCTGTTAATTGTTTTGGCATATATACCACTGCTTATAGTTAAGTTGTATTTTATATATAGGTCTATTGATTGTGTTTCTTATCGCAGTTAGTTATTTTTATTTAATTAAACATGCTTGTGGATGTAATGTACTTTTGAAATGTTCATGTTTTATGTCTGGTATGTAGCTAGGCATACTGTCACAATAGTACCCTCCCAGGTGATGCTCTGTATAATGTCATGTCTATTATGTGCACTTATTTCAGTTTCCATGGTGTCAAAGTTTGGTTAACCAGGAGGCCAGGAAAATCATCCTTGTCATTTTTTTAAAAAAGTAATCACAGCATGCTAATTTTCCACTTCTTCCCAATAGAAAACCTTGCTTTTTGTCCACACCATGACTTCTAACCCCTCAATCTCTCAGTTCTCTCTAGACCATTACCTCTGTACTAGCTAAATTCTGCTCTTTTTCCCATCTTGACAATTTGGTGAACCAATTCAACTTCATTATTCTCTTCTCTTCAGTCCCTTGCCCCCCATAATCTTTAATTATGCCTTGCCAAGCCTCATCCTTGGGTCATTCCCACCTTCCACTGCCTTCACTCCTAATACAAAGTGGAGAAAATTGTAGAATTTTACTTGCTGGGTCCTCTACAAATTATGTCACATGGCCTCAACTCACTACTTCAAATCAATCTTTCTACACCCTCTTACTAATTTATTATTGCTGCCTGATCAAGTGATCCATCCCATCTCCTCTAAAAGATTGCTACCTTGAATATCCCCATTCTTTCACTTAACTTCAATCTCTTGCTGTTTGCTAACTCCTCTATGCTGAAAAAAAATCTTCACTTGATTCTTCCATCCCCACTAACTATCGTCCTATAATCTTCCTGACTTTTGCAACTAAATTCCATGAGAAGGTGGTCTACAACAGGTACCTCTTCCTTCTCTCCTGTAACTCTCTTCTTAACTTTCTACGATCTAGTTTCCAACCTCATCATTCAGCTGAAACTGGTCTCTTCAAAATTATCAATATGATCTCTTACTTGCCAAATCTAATGGACTTTTCTCAATCCTCTTCCTTTTTGACCAGTGCCCTCTGTACTTTGTCATTTGTCAATCCCCTCTTCTCCTTGATGTCCCCTTCTCTCTAGGTTTTCAGGGTACCACTCTCTTTTGTTTCTCCTCCTACTTAACTAATTGCTCCTTCTAGGTCCTCAAGATCCTCAACCAGATCACACCCAGTAAGGACGGGTGTCCCACCATACTCTGTCCTAGGCCCTTTTCTCTTCTCACTCTATACTACTTCACATGATAATCTCATCAGCTTGTATGGATTTAATTATCACATATACACTGATGATTCTCAAATCTACTTATCAATGTCTAACCTCTCTGCTGACCTCAATTCTCACATATCCACCTGTGTATTAGACATCTTGAACTAGATGTCCTGTAGACATCTTAAACCAACATGTCTAAAGCTGAACTCATCTTCTTTCCTTCCCTAATCCTACTCTTTTCCAAACTTCTCTATTGTTGTTGAGGACACCACCATCCTCCCAGTTCCTGAAATTCACAGTTTCATCAACTTCAACTCCTCTCTGTCTCTCACCACTACCACCCCATATTCAATCTGCTGTCAAGGCCTACCATTCCGTATTTGCAACACCTCTCAAATGTGACCCTCTGAAACTGCCACCACCCTGATGTAAGTGTTCATTTCACTGCACCTAGAATATTGCAATAATGTGCTGGGGGCTCTGTTTGCCACAAGTCTCTCTCCATTCCAGATTAGTTTTATTCAGCTAGTAAAGTTATTTTCCTCAAATGCAAGTCTGACCATGTCATCCCTCTATTCAATATACTCTAGTGGCTTCCTGTTGCCTCCAGGATCTTCTGTTTGGCCTTAAAATTGCTTCATAACATAGACTTCTTCCTTACAACACCCCCCACCTACTCTTTGATCTAACAATACATACCTTCTTGCCATTCTTTGAAAAAGACATTCTATTTCTTGGCTCCAGGCATTTCTGTTAGTTGTCCCCTAGTTCTGGAATGCTGTCCCTCATCTCTGCCTCCTTATTCCCTGCTTCTTTCAAGTCCAAGCTAAAATCCTATCTTCAACAAGAAATCTTTCTCAATCACAACTCAAGTGCCTTCCCTCTGTTGATGAGAGACACAGAGAGAGAGATTTGAGTGTATATGAATGATAGACATAGATAGACAGAAAGAGAGAGAAATAGAGATAGACTGTAAGCCTCTTGAGAACATGGACTGTCTTTTGACTTTCTTTGTATCCTCAGTGCTAAGCACAGTGCTTGGCACATAACAGGTGCCTACAAAATTCATACCGACTGATTAACTTTGCCTCTGCAAGAAGTCTTGCTATAAATACTTTGTTGTTACATTTCTTTCCATCATTTACCTCCTTGGGGTATATGCATAGCACTGCATCTGTGGATCTATTTGTACATTTTAGTCTTATTCTTTCCATAATTCCATAATCATAAGCCCAATCGACAGCTCTGCCAACAGAATTTTACTGTGCCCATCTTCCTACAACATCTATGAAATTGACTAATCCCCTCTTTTGTCCACTCTATATGTGCCCTTATTATTTAGCTAATTTTCTGAGTATAAGTTGACAATTCAGAGTTGTTTTGATTTGCATTTCTCTTACAAAGAAAGATACTTATAATCTGAAGTTATCATTCCCCTAGACTAGTGTTAGTGAGCCAAAAGCCCAAGACTGACAGGGAGAAGAGGGTTCCTCTATTCCTCTCCCCTTACTCATTGTCATAGTAACCATGTTACAATTTGCTAGATCATGTAGATACCTGTTACACTGGCACATTTAGGTGCATAATAAGTGTTTGTTGCTTGCTTGATTGACACAGTAATTATGAGAACCAACACTTCATAAGTTTTCCCCCAGATAATAGGTACTTATATCTGAGGCTGCTGGAAGTCTTTCTATAATATGTACCAAGGTTGAATTCCCTTAAACATCAATCATGTGGGGCATCATGATCAGTTAATGCTCTTAAACATCCAACATTGCTTGAAAACCATAGTCTTACCCAAAGAAGTGACATCAGAAGCAGAGCTTATCCCTCATATAAGTAAAAAGAAGCTAGCCTAAAATTATATTGCCGATGAAGACTTATCCTGATCCTTTTGCTTGAATACTATTGCTTGTATAAACATGAAGAAGGCTAGTCAAGGAACAGGAACCCTAAATGAAGGTATTCTCTCCACCCCCAATCTGGATGTACCCAAAAAAACCTTGACAGCCTTTTTACTCACTGTAGTTGTTTATCTAAGATCTGGCCAAATTTACCTCATATCATCCAATAAACCCTCATATGTGAGGTCTGCATTAAGCTTTGCTTTCACCTTTTAGTGGTAATATTAACCAAATAGTTATCCATTTAGAAAATATTTCCTACTAAATCACCTTTCCAATTCTTGAAATTAGCCCCAATAACATAGGACAGCTTACTAGAAGGCAGATTTGAGCATTGACATCTTACTAATTAAGCTTCAGAGACTAAGCTGTATCTTGATGATTGATCAGCTGAGGCTCAGAAGGATGAACTCTTGTCAGAGGAGCCACCCTCTCTGTGTCTCCAAGAATAAACTGTGAGGCAGCTCACAACATTTGTCCATTTCTTTTTCTGTGCTTTCTCATACTTGAACTTCTGACTGGAATTTAACAAGGTTGGACAAGGAATTTTTACCTGTTCCCACCAATCTTAGGAACAAAAAATTGTGAATTGACAAAGAAGCACCTGGTAAGAAGACTCCCACTTGTCTAGGCAAGCCTTGGAGAGGAGTTCCTGAACCTCCAGTTCATGTCTGTCTTCTGACAGTCTATTTCCTTTTATGAGCACAGGTTAGAGAACAGTGACCTCAGGAATGAACACTTCCAGTGTTAGTGATTCTCTGGTATGTAATTCTGAGTTGGAAAGTTCCTATATTCAAGAGTTAGGCACAGGCTTCCCAGAAATTTTTTTTTCCTTGATAGTGTATCTCTGGGAAAAGAAAGAGTATCCTCACCAGAGAATTGCCCTGTAGCTGAAGCACTAAAGCTATGGCACAGAGTTGGGGGAGGGAGGTAAAAATCAGAAATCTGGAACTTGTTTTAATTAATTGCTTAGCCAGGGTAGATCTGAAGTGAATATAAAATATTTGTTCAGAGTTTCTTCAGTGTCTCTGTGTTTTACAGGTTGTTTAATGAATTATTTCTGGACGGCTAGGTAGCACAGTGAATAGAGTCAGGAGGACCAGAGTTCACATTCAGCCTCAGATACTTACTAGCTGTGTGACCCTGAACAAGTCACTTAACCTTGTTTATCTCAGTTCCTCATCTGTAAAATGATCTGGAGAAGGAAATAGCAAACTTATCCATATCTTTGCCGAGAAAACCCCAAATGGGGTCATGGAGAGTTGGACGGGATTGAAATGACTCCAACAGCAACAAATTATTTGAGTGCTTTATGCTTCTATAATTCTTTGCGGGTTCCATGAATCCTTTGTATATATTAATGTATTTACTGTATTAGGCAAAATAAAGGTAGGTCCATTTTGTACTTTATGCTAGAGCAGGGGACCCTTTAGGGGTAACCTAAATATAAGCTATGCCTTAGTTTTGTTTTTAAAATTTCCCTGGAGTTTCTCTGAGGTGGGACCAGTGAGCCAAAGAAAAAAACTGATGTTTTGGGATCAGGTGACAGGCTTGGACACAAGTTTGTGTGAGCCTAGTCTTTGTGGCATTTCTGAGCTATATATGTGATACCTACAAAAAAAATTGGTTAGTAAAATTTCAAAAACATTTGCTTTCTTAGGTGATTTGGTGATGCCTTGTACAATCAATCATGTTTATATTACTCCTTTTCTGAATAATCTTTTCTTTATATACAGTATATAGG